ATCTTCTGTGTCTGTGTTAATTGGTTTCCCTTTTCTTTGTTGAAGAGGGTCTGTGCAATCCTTCTGCCTAGTCCGCCATCTTGCCCCGCCTCCCCAAGGAGGTTTTAAAAGTTATCAAAGAATGACAGTAAGAATTTACTGGATCCAATTAAAAGAAGAGACAAATGCAATGCCATTGATTACTTTTATGACTTGTTTGCAGGAGGTGCCTAGGAAAGGTTTTATTATTTTTTTAATTGTGATTTGGGTGAAAGTTTACAGATCAAATTCATTTTCCACACAGCAATTCATACACATTTTGTTTCATGACATTGATTGCAATCCCCATAATGTAATAGCTCTCTTCCCATTCCTTCCTTGTGTCCTTCTTTCCTATGCATTCCTGCCCTCTGAGCTATCTCCCTGTGCAAATACTGCCCTTCTGGTCTCCCATGATTGATTGTTCTAAAGAGTGTACCTACTTTGTGTAAATGTTCATCTTATATGCTTGTCTGTTGTTTGGCTGGAAGCTATGGGAGTGAGTTCAATTCCAGGTCTGAAGAGTGAGTAGAGGCCATAGTCTCAGGGGTTTTACTAGTCTCTATCAGACCAGTAAGCCTGGTCGTTTTATAATTTTGAGTTTTGCTCCACATTTTTCTCCCATTCTATCCAAGATCTCCTAGTTTGATTCCTTTCTGAGTGACTGACAATGGTCAAGTGCCACCTAGTTCTTTTGGTATCAGACAGGTAGGCTGAGGTGCATATGGACCACTAGTCCCATGGACTAATTGTTTCCATACATCTTTGGTTTTCTTCATTCTTCTTTGTTCCAGATGAGGAGAGACCAATTGTTGCATCCAGATGGCCATTTGTAAGCTTTGAAGACCCCAGCTGCTACTCACCAAAGTAGAATGTAGAACAATGTTTTTGTGTAGTATGGTGTGCCAATTGAGCTTGATGTCCCTCGTGACCATGATCCTGAGCCCACAGGCCCAACAATTCACTTCCTCAGGGTGGTTGTCTATGGCTAAGAAGTGATCATAATTTTGTCCCCTGTTAGTTTTATTTATATGGACATTCTTATAGCACATAGAAATATGCATGCAGAGATACCATTTACCAAACTCATATATGGGTATATTCCCTTTTGTGGACTAGGAAATCTTTTGAGCTTCACAGTGGTGAAGTAACTTGGGCCCTATAGCACCTTCTCTGAGGTTAAACACCAAAATAATTGGTGTGGTGGGATGGAATGCAGAGAACTATACACTTGCCTTTCCAAGGCAAAGACATTCAACATAAGAGGTTTACACAATGCATGTGGCACATTGATTTTATAAAGGGAACAATTTCAGTTAAATGTCTAAATTTAAAGATCACTGCCTTGGAAACCATATGGGGCAGTTATACTCTGTCCTATGGGGTCACTATGAATAAGAATCTACTTGATGGCAGTGAGTTTGGTTTTAACACCTCATTTACACCCCATTGAAGAGCCACCTGGACGTCTTCACCTAGCTGGTAAACTCATACCCTGTGGAACAATTGTCCTCTTAATTCCATGGTCCACAATCTATTTAGATGGGAGGATTATACCATGTTTTTGTTGTTTTGCTTTTTTGCACCTGGGAGTATTTAATGACTTGTGATTCTTTACATAGAATACAAATGTCTTCAGACACTTAATAGGGTAAAGATGAAAGGCTGTGCCAGATAGTACCATCCATTGTTCTGTAAAAGCACTATCTCCATTTATCTGTAAAACCAAAACCAAAACCAAACCAAACTTGTCATTGTCCAGTCTGACTCATAGAGACCCTGTAGAACACAGAACTGTCCTATAGGGTTTCCTGGCTATAATCTTTACAGAAGAAAACTGCCACAAACTTTCTCCCACGAAGTGACTAGTGGGTTCAAACCTCCGACTTTTTGGTTAGCAGCTGAGTTCTTAACCACTGTGCCACCAGAGATCCTTTATTGATCTATAGAACTGGTGTTTTTACGGGCTTCTAATGGATGTAGCTCCATGCTGAGTGTTGTAGTAGCATGTGTGAGAATTAAATGTTTTCCTACCAGGAGCTTACCATTTCCTTGGTAAGAGACATATGCAAATAAGTATAAGCTCTTGAAGGTCAAAATCTATCTTCTTCACCTTTGAATCCCTATGATAACTAGTTTTGTGATATATACAAAGTGCTGTTCATTAAATGTTTGTTGAGTGAGTGAATAAATGAATGAGCAACGTAAATAAAAGTTCAAAGCTATAGATAGCACTAAAATGAGTGACTTAATGACTTAGTAAATGCTTAAAAGTGAAGAGAAAAACATCAGTTTGGTAGAAAGCAATTGGGAAGGTTCAAAAGTTATACCAAGGTCTTTCAAAAAAGCCTTCAATATGGGTTTGGAAAGTCTCAGAGCCCTATGTCACTGGTTGGAAAGGAATTGCTGGCAGCAGGACTGTAGCCATCTTTCCTTTTGCTGGGGATATGTGGGGGAGAAATAGCATTTGGTCAAACCCGCTTCCAGATATTCTAGTAACAAGATCTCCTAAGAAACACACTGATTATTTTTTTGTAGCAGAAAATTAAGAGAGCCCTTATCTATGAAATGCTTTTATAAGGGTACACCTGGTCTGTTCATTCTGCTTACTATAAATAAACCTGGAATTTGTGGATTAATGGGGGCATGAGTGGTTAGATAATTAATGGGTATCAATGGAAACATTTAACTGAAATTGTTCCCTTTGTAAAATTAATGTTCCCCATGCGTTGTTTAAACCTTACATATCAAATCTGAATCAGAACAAGTCCTAATGCAGAAAGAAAGAACTTGCAGTGGTGAGCTTGGACTTCTCCTAGGGAAGAATGTTTTTCCTGTACATTGTGATTGCCTGTTTCCTTTGAATGATTAGTGAAGTTTGGTGTTGGGTAGTGAGTCTTATGTAACAGTCTGACCCTTTATATTATTGCACTGTGTCACTCTGCCTCTCCCATTTCTCCTCCATTACTGTGAAATGGCTGAAAGCCTTTGGAGACTGTTGGACCTGAGCTGGACTCATCTTAGCTCCTTACTAGAGTGAGACTTCAAGCTGCTGATACAAGTGCTCCGAGTATCTGTTTCCTCTTCTGCAAACTCTACTAATAGTGATATCTGGAGTAGCTGAGGGGCTAAGTGGGGAGAAAGTGGGTTAAGCACCTTACCCTTCCCTGCACTGGGGCAGGCACTCCTTCCCTAGCTGGAACCAGCCTGGTTGGCAGGACTGGCACTGCATGCTGTGTCTCCCTTCACATGTCCTACAAGAGCTGTGGCAGGGAGCACATCGGTGGCTGTCCTCATCTGCATAGTAGCCCTCGGGGCAGTCTTCCACACAGGTCATATCTGGAAAAGAGTTTGTCTTGACATCAAGCATACCACATGTTTCCCAAGTCTCCCCTACATGCTCCCCTACTGTGTACTGGGGATGGTGAGGTACAAGAGGAATGAGACAATGTCTCTAGGGGCTGATGGATATGCTTGGGGTCTAAGATGAGTATCTTAGAAATGGAATTGACCACAGGCCATAAGGAGTTCAGAGAAAATAGAGATTACAATGGACTACCCATGGTGCCCAGGATAGAAAACACAGTCTAGAGAGTTGAGCTAGAAAGACACCCAGGTTTGACCAGGAGAGGGAGAGTACCTTCTAGGCAGGGGCTGACATTGGGGGTAGCATGAGTCAAGACTCCATTGAAGAAAACAGAAAGTGCATGGCCAATATGCTGACATGATCCTACAACTTCCACATTCCATGCCCATAATGATCTCAAATTCTGCTGTGCTGTCTACACAATGTGACTTTTTAACTTTACATTAAAATTAATAGAAACTAAATAAAATGAAAACTCCAGCCCTTTAGATGCATGAGCAGATATAGGATACTTCCGTCATGAACAGCAAGATCCTGTTTCACCCGGGTAGTTAATAAATTTGACAATAATCCCAAATCTTCAGCTCCAAACAGTGAGAAGAGTTGGAGTTGAGTTCCTCAGTCACACACCATGCCAGCCCTTCATCCACATGCCACAGCTGTGGATGTTGATACTTGCCTTTTCTGCATCTTTGATAACATTTAGGGTTGGAAGGTGAGTTGGCTTAGTTAGAAAGTAAAAACAAATGAGAATTTTTTGGAATTATGGTTTAGCATTAAGTGCTTAGAGGCAACTACATCTCCAGTTTCTGCTTAACTTGGTAGGTTGGAAGCCAGGCCCTCTTGAATTATTAATGTGACCAACTGGTTGATTACAGATTGGAAGCCAGTTTGTCTCTATAACTCCATTCAGCACTGGCATAGGCACTGGTGGAAAAGCCACATACCATTAGAGCTGCTGCACAAGGTGCTGCAAACTCACCTGTGTTGGAGACTCTGAGCTACTTGAGGGTAGGTGATGCCACTCCTTTAACAACGTCACAAATTATGAAGAGAGAAATCAGTATCTACTGTGTACTAGTACAAGGTAGTTTTCCAGATAGAGTGAAAAACAAACCCTTGTTCGGAGGAAAAGTAACTCACTGAGAAGAAGGCTATTCCTTGGGCAGGTACGACACTGGTCCTCCGCAGGCCCTATGCAATGGAGGCACGTGGTGTGACAGGGTTGGCACCCATGGGCCTCCTCATCCCAGTACTCCACGTGGGCACACTCTTCATAAGGCACACAGCTCCCATGAGTGTTCTTCCTCAGGCCTTCTTGACAGGTTTTGCAGGTTCCCGATGATATGCAGGTCTTGCAGGTCTTGTGGCAATCTGTGGATGTGGTGGGGGCAGCAGGAAGAGAGTGAGAGAGAGCCAGGGTACCCCACTAGGGAATTAATTCCCTTGGAAAGTGTGTTCACATCTCCTCCACATTTTCTTCCAGAGATTTTCCAAGATTTTCTAAGGCACTGTGCCAAATATAGAAGTCCCTGGGTGTTGCAAACTGTTAACACACTTGGCTGCTAAATGAAAGATTAGAGGTTCAAATGAAAGATTAGAGGGTCAAATCCATGCAGAGGTGTTTTGGAAGAAAAGCCTGACAATCTATCTCCTTCCCTTGCAAAAAAAAAAAAAAAAAAATCAGCCCTTCAAAACCCTATGGAGCACACTGCCACTCAAACAAACATGGGGTTGCCATGAGTCAGAATTGACTTGACAGCAATTGGTTGTTGGTTTGGTGTCAAGGTTTGGAGCCATGAGTTTGGCACAGCCTTTGGGCTCTGGGTGCAGCATTCTTGTCACAAAATGAGAAAAAAAAAAAAAAAAATGGCTATTTCCCTTTCTCTGTAATACCCCAAAAGCCTCTTTGTTGCAGTAGTCACTTTGGGAATATTAGTAAGGCTCACTGTATAATTACCCAAACTGTACAGAAAATAATATGAGCAAGTCCACAGGAGCAAGTCACACAGCAGTAGGTGCCCTTCCACCATCATAACTCCTGTTGCTACGGTCCTCCACTCACTTCCCAGAATGCTCAGAGCTCTTCATTAATAAGTTGCTGTCGATTCTGACTCAGGGTGACTCATGAGTAGAACTGTACTCCATAGGGTTTTCAGTGGCTGATTTTTCACAAATAAATCCCCAAATCTTTCTTCCAAGCTACCACTGGGTAGACTTGGATCTCAACCTTTTTGTTAGCAGCTAAGCACTTAACCATTTGTACCACTCAGGAACTCCATTTAAAACATAGGAGATATAAATAATAGTAGGTTTTTTTCTCAAAAATATAAACCCTGGTGATGCTGTGGTTAAGGCATTCAGCTGCTAACCAAAGGGTTGGTAGTTTAAAACCATCAGCTCCTCCACAAGAGAAAGATGAGACAGTCTGTTTCCATTAAGATTTATAGCCTTGGAAACCCTATGGGGGTTGCTATAAGTCAGAATTGACTCGATGGCAGTGAGTTTCTTGGAAGCGTAGGGATTAAAGTGTTGATGGGGAAGAGGAAATGGGAGACCAAGAACAGAGGCTTTTGCTTCAGTGAATGATGAGGGGGAAGGGATTTTAGGGGGGCAAAAAATAAAGGGAGATCAGAGGCACTGAGAAAGTCTTCTGTGGACAGTTTCACTTATGTTGCTATAAGCTTGTCATTGCTTAATATTTGAATAAAACTTTGCCTTCTTTGGTGACTCTTGAAGGCTCACCATCTCTGTTGTAAATCTTGCCGTGAGAATCCTTTTTGATCTGCAGTGCACAGCCACTGTAGTGAGGTGGGCTGATGGGATTTGTTACTATTAAAGTTACATGAGCGAGTCTTTTAAAAATTCTTTAAATCATTGAAAAATAAATGAGAACATATTCAAAATGTGTTTCCTTGAACGGGAGGAAAAGGGATGGAAGGATAGCTGTGGGGGCTAGAACTGTGCAAACCCTAGACCCTGTTTTAACTTAGCAGAAACACAGACTCTTGGAAGGCTTTCTGGTAGGCTAAGCTCAGCCATGCTTTTTGGAAGTCTTTTTTAAAATCATATATATATATATATACACATACACATATAATGTTATTTTATTGTTTTTGAGAATATATACAGCAGTTGTTACATGCTATTGAGTTGACTCTGACTCAGTGACCCTAGAAGACAGAGCAGAACTACCCTATAGAGTTTCCTAGGCTATAATCTTTACAGGAGCAGATTGCCAGGTCTTTTTTCCCATGGATTGGCTGAGTTCAAACTGCTGACTTTTTAGTTAGCAGCCAAGCACTTAACCATTGTGCCACCAGGGCTCCTGTACACAGAACATACACCAATTCAATAATTTCTACATATCCATATCAGTGACATTGATTACATTCTTTGAGTTGTACAACCATTCTCACCCTCCTTATCTGAGTTGTTCTTCTCTCATTAGCATAAACTCACTGTCCCCTAAGGTTCCTATCTAAGCTTTCCAGTTGCTGTTGTCAATTTGATCTCATACAGATTGTTCTTATAGGAGCACAATGCTAACGGTAACTCAATGCTGTGGAGTCGGACCTGACTCATAGCGACCCCTCCTTGGGTTTCCAAGGCAGGATCACTACGGAAGTAGATTGCCCAACCTTCCTTCCGAGGAGTGGCTGGTAGGTTTGAACTTCCAGGCTTCTGGTTAGCAGTCAAATGTTTTAGGCACTATACCACTAGAGTTCCCAATGCTAAATACAGATATTCTTTATTAATTAAGCTAAACTACTGCTTGGTTTAAGGAAGACTTCAGGAGACATTTTTGATTTAAGGCTTAAGGTTTCAAGATTATCTCAGGGAAGTAGTTCGGGGGTTCATCCACCCTCAATGGATCCAGAAAGTCTGGATTCCATGACTTCCTGGAAGTCTTTACCTTTGCAGTTGTTAGTCTCTCTTTCCAAGTAAGTTCCTGCTGGACACTCATCCAAACACAGCCCATCATAGAGGACCAAGGATGCGTCAGCGCAGAGGTCACATTCATCTGCACTGGGGCCGCTGCACTCGTGGCAGTCTTCATGGCAGGGGACACACTGGCGGGCATCCTCATAGAAGCCAGAGGGACAGGACTGGTGGCACATATCATTGTTCAGGAAGAAATTGGGCATGCACTCTGCAGGGAAGGAGGGAACAGTGAGTATTCTGGGGCAAGGGCAAGAAAGGAATGTATTCCTTTGCAGTGGGCCAGGACTTCTCCACCTCCCACTGTGCTTCTTCCCAGCTAGAGTGCACAGTTGCCCCATTTACCCCCTGCCAGGGCACATCCTACATCCCTTGAGAGCATGAGGCCACATACAGTGGCTTAACTAGATGGTACTGTGTTTAAGTCTTGAAATGACCTGCTCTTAGGAGGTGCAAAAAATTACATAGCCTTGGCAGATGAGTGATAGCTGAGATGCTGACAATACTGTCTGGAAAATCTAAAAAGCATTTATAGATTTTAAAAATTTTATTGAGCTCTTCACATTCTGTTCAATACAGAAAGTAGTTTAGGAATTGTTGGATTAGTTATTTTTTTGTTAATTGATGGTAGGCCAATAATTAGCTATATGTAGTTAATCAGTATGAAGAATACAGTGTGGGTTTGTTTTATTTTTGTTCATTTTCTATTTTGGGAGAGAATCCAGAAAACATTTTGGGTCACACCGAGAGAATCCTTTTGACAGGATGGCTCCACATAAATGATCTGTATTATTTTTGAAAGGACATTGGACAAACTTTCTTGGGACATATTTCTAGAGGGAAAAAACCTATTTATAGTGAGAGTGTTATTCGCAGTGTCATATAGATGCTTGAACTTTTCTTATCTTTTATAACAATTGACACTCTGTAACTACTTCTGTGCCTAGTTGTTTGATATCAGTCTCTCCTGTAAGATTTTGCTCTCAAAAAGGTGGGAACTTAGATTTTTATTTGTCTCCAGCACCTGGATAGTGCTTGGCACACACTTGTGTTCATAAAACAAAAACCAAACCAGTTGCCTAGGAGATTCTGACTCATGGCAACCTTACACATGTCAGAGTAGAACTGTGTTCCATAGGGTTTTGGGGGGGTGATTTTTAGAAGTTTATGGCTGGAAGTTTTTCCCAATGAGCCTCACGGTGGACTTGAACTGCCAACCTTTTGGTTTGTAGCTGAGTGTAACTGCGGCACCACCCAGGAACTCTTAAGTACTCGATTTGCTATTATTGTTAGTTGCTGTGAAGTTGATTCAAACACATGGAGACCCATGTATACATAGTAGAACTCTGTTCCACAGGGCTTCCAAGGGATTTTCCAATGTGCCACTGGGTAGGTTTGAACTGCCAGTCTTTCAGCTAGTAGTTGAGGGTTTAACCATTTGCACCACTCAGGAATTTCAATAAGCCCAAAATCTATTGCCATTGAGTCGATTCCGACTCATAGTGACCCTATAGGAGAGAGTAGAACTGTCCCATAGAGTTTCCAAGGCTGTAAATATTTACAGACTGCCACGTCTTTCTCCTGTGGAGCTGCAAGTGGGTTTGAACTATTAAACTCTTCAGATAGCAACCAAGCTAACAAGCTACTAGGGCTCCTTGGAACTCTAATACATGTGTGTAAAAGAAATCTTGCAAAAAGGTGCTCTTGTTTGTCTTAACTTGCAGAGTAGAATCTATAATGTAAAGGCTTTGGATTACTTTTCATTTCCTCAGTGATGTGTATGAAAATGGACACATAGGAAAGGAAGTAAGACAGGTCTCCATAGCTCTCATTGGAACCCCATCTTCGGATAGTCAGGCCACCTGGGCTCTCTCAGCTCCACACTGTACCATGGAACGCGCCTGAGTACCTTTGCATGTTTGCTCATGGATGCAATCCTGGCACATCTCTGGGCACTGCTGGCACATGCCCTCCACAGCCACGTGGCTCTCGGAGCAGGCTTCACGGCATACCCCCTGCTCCAGCAAGAACACTCCTTCACAAGAGAGGCAGTAGGTGGCATTTCCTTCACACGTCCTGCAAGGTGAGCTGCAGCGTTCACATACACCCGCTTCTGCATAAAAGCCTCTGTGGAGGGAAGACAGCGCAACCAAGGAAGCTTAAAAGGAGGGGAATTAGTCACACCTGGTGGTGAAGGACTCAGGCCTAAAAATGACAGGGCTGCTGCTTGCTATTGTAAACCAGAATGAATCCTTTAATAAGATTGGCAAAGACGTGTGGTGAATAAGAAAGTCTAGAAAGATAAAACCAAAGGATTATCACTGTGAATTTTGTTCGCTTGAAAATCAACTGGTTTGTTTGAAAGTTAACTTTAGTTTATTAGTTTGTAGGTTAGTCATTTTCTAAGTTCCCTATTCTATCTTCTAATTTTTAATGAATTTTTCTTTCTCTTTGCTATAGCCTTACTTTAGTGTAGAAAAAGACACCTATTAAATTTAATACATTAAAACTATTTTTAAAAATAAATTGAAAAAAATCACTTCTTAGAAGCACAAAAGGATTACGGTTGGAAGCAATTTGCTTTCAGATGTTCTTAGACAACCTCTGACGGTGCCTTTCAAACACATAAACATTCACACACAGCATGAAACATATTTTGAGAAGCTGTTATTGGAGTATATGTTTGTGGGTTTCACTTCCTTCTGGGGAAATCTGATATCCGTATATATAGTTTCTCTGAATTATAAAACTATCACCCCATACAAATCCTTTACTGGTGTGTGAACACAGTGAATATAAAACCCTAACCCTCTCAGTATATTTGGAAACAAAAGCAGTATAGATAATTTTTTTTTTTGTGCCACTTTTATTACTATCCCTCTCCAAAATATTCCACCACCATTAGCACAAACTCAATGCCCCACAAACAAAAGGACAATGTTTCTTTGAAAGGAAAAATGAAGAGCTGAAACTTGCAGAAGCTGGAAAATCATAAACCAGTGTAGAGAAAATGGACTTCTTGTACCATAGGTACCTATTCCAATTGTTGTCTATAACAGTCCTTCTATTAAGTCAGTTATTGCCATAATAGTAGAGGGCAGTGGTCATTCAGTGGTAGAATTCTCGCCTTCCCTGTGGGAGACCCGGGTTGGATTCCCTCTTATCCAATGCACCTCATGCCAAGCCATCATCATCTATTAGTGGAGGCCTGCATGTTGCTATGATGCTGAACAAGTTTCAGTGGAGCTTCCAGACTAAGACAGACTAGGAGGAAAGGCTTGATGATCTACTTCTGAAAAATCAACCAATGAAAACTCTATGGATCACCAAGTCCATAGTGATCATGGGGAGGGCGCAGGACCAGGCAGTGTTTTCTTCCAGGTGTACAGGGTCACCATGAGTCAGGGGCTGACTGATGGTAGCTAATAACAATAATTATGATTGGGCTATACAACCAACCATCCCTTAAAACAACAACCATTCATTTGCATTCAAATGTCAGTGAATAGGGAGAAATAGGCTGGGCCTGGCTGGACATCAGGTTCAAGTCTTCTTCGTGTCCTTTCATCCTTCTTGGCATAGAGGGCTATGGAGTATGTTCTTCTCATTGCCATGACAGAAGCAGAAGAGGGTGCTCTCAACTGGGCAAACATATTTTAAGCCTCTGTTGACCTCTTCTGCTAATATCCCATTGGCCAAAGCAAGGCCTACAACCTAGTCCAAAATCAAGGGTTAGAGAGAACTACAGGGAGCTCTGGTGGTGCACTGTTTAAGACATTTGGCTGTTAACCAAAGTGTCGGTGGTTTGAACCCATCAGCCACTCTGTGGGAGAAAGATGAGATGATCTGTTTCCATAAAGATTTATAGCCTTGGAAATGCAATGAGGGTCACTATGAGTAGGAATCAACACAATGGCTGTGAGTTTGGTTTTTGGTTTGGGGGTGGGGGTACAATACTTGTGTTTTATTGACTATGCAAAGGCATTTGATTGTGTGGATCATGACAAATTATGGATAACATTGAGAAGAATGGGAATTCCCAAGCACTTGATTGTACTCATGAGGAATCTGTACCTTGACCAGGAGGCTGTCGTTCGAACAGAACAAGGGGACACTACATGGT